TACAGAGGGAATTTGGCGCTGTTCTTAAAGGACAAGTCCACTCGAAAAATAACTTACTCTCACTAAAAGCAGAAAAATCAGACAAACCAATCAAAAAAAGTTTGAGCAAAATCGGATAACTAATAAGAAAGTTATGAATTTTTGAAAAAGTATATAAAACTATGGAACAATGAGATTCACAACACAAATTGCCAAGATGGTTATCAGTTTGTGACGTCATGTCCTCACAACTTATCAATTGCTTTATATAGTTTAATCCCATTAATTTCCCTTAATATCCCCCAAAAGTTGATTTCCCCATGCCTTTGCCCAGGTTATATGATTGGTACCATATTGCGTGCATGACATTTCCCAAAAACTTTTATGAATTTTGAAGAATTGATACTATTTTCTGAATATTGTATTTCATAATTATTGATTTTTATATAAATAGTTTATCAAAATTCAATTTTTCATGATTTAATTGGACATAAATTACTCTTTATTTGTGCATCCACACAAACAAAATATTACTAACAATCTAACTTGGATGCTGGTGTGAAGAAATAAGATTCTTAGGGTGAAAATAGGAAATTTATAGTATCAATATAAAGAAAATAATTAGTGGATAGTGAGGACCATACGTCACAGACTCATGGGTGAGTTGCCAATTTGTGTAGTGATTTTCAAAGTTTGTTATGTCATTAAAAATTCATAACTTTCTTATTAGTTATCCGACTTTGCTCAATCTTTTTTTGATTGGTTTATCTGATTTTTCTGGTTCTATTGAAACTAAGTTATTTTTGGAGTGGACTTGGGCTTTAATTGGACCACTTAACTTTGCATCCGTGTCCCCCGGCCCTCCTTTCCACGCAATTTTATTGCCCAAAAGTTATGATTTTCTTTCTAAAATACATGAAGGCTTCGTGGGTGCGGATGCCCCCCCCCCCCCCCCCCCCCATGAAACTAAGGTCCAGGCTGAAGATCGCCACTGGAACTCCCTTTGTTGTGACCTGGCAAGTTTAGTCCTTATTAATTTTGACGCTAAAAATGTAATACGAAGAATGCGGGGAGAAGGAGGAGTTCGGGGAGAATTTGTCAGATCCAACGTTTTTCCGATTGCGGAGAGGGCGGTTTATAATTTCTAGATGAGCACTGCATAAAACAAAAAGTGAGGGGAGGCCGTGTGGAGAGGGGCCTTCCCACCCTCAGAAAAAAATAGTTTAAAATCCTTCAGGCGATGATATACTTTAGGCATTTCATCTTTGTTTTTAAAGTATGATACGATATTTTATATAACTAAGGGTGGTAACTCTATAATAACAAATTAATATTCTTTGAAATGTTGAGATTTCACAAACAAAATGACAATTTAATGTTTTTCAGGCAAAGCGGTACGCAGATTTCAAATTCGGCTTAGTTTAACTTTATTAGTTTCATTTATATTCCCATTGGAACAATGAGGTGCCGAATTGTTAAAGTATTTACCAATAAAAAAAAAAAACATCAAATAGATCTATAGACCGACATCAAAACACAAATATCTGGAGGAAAAAAAAGCATAACCAATATACATTGGTGACATAGATTTTTAAACCAATAAACAAACTCAAATTAAAAGGATTGGTATATAATATAAGGCAATATTTCAAACCTCCAAAACTTATATTGCCCAAAAAGAATCCCACATTTATTCCAAAATAAAAAGGAAAAGATCATCAGATTAAAATTCTTCCTAGTTGCCGACAAAAGTTAAAGATAGAAGGGGCTTGGAACCAGGGGCGGATTCAGCCGGCAGCAGGGGAGGGGGCCAATTCGTAGTGAGCACTATTTTTTTTTTTTTTTTTTTTTTGGGGGGGGGGGGCCTCGAAAATGTGAAAAATCGCACCCCCCCCCCCCTTGAGCGCCAGGGGGGGGGACATATCCACAAAAAAGGGTAAAATTAACATTTTTACACGTTTTTTTCCACTGGATCCGCCACTGCTTGAAACATTAGGGGAGCAGCCGGCTCAAGACCAATTCCTATATAGCGTATAGTGCTAAAGCCGGGGGAAACTATTTATTTTCTGAAAGTTGTATTCATTTAAAGGAAAACCCGAGAAATAACTTCAATTATTCTGAAAGATTTATTATATTTTTTCCATTAATCTACAAGATTCCCCGACACCAAAGTGTATAAGAGAGGCAGAACGCAAGAATACAGTTTCTCATCAGCACGACATAGGCATCGCCATTTTCTTGCTATAAGCCAGTTACGGTTGCAGTCTGAGCATGAGCAAATAAACGTCATTTGTACCAAAAAGGTAAAACCCACAGAGATGAATACTGGATATGCGCTCATGAAAGTTATGTAACATTATTCATTTATGCACCAACGGATACGCAGGTTGAAGTACTTTTTTCAAGAGGGCAAACAAAAGGTATTCATGAAGCCACTGGCGTAATGAGCAAAAACGTTTTTTTTTTTTTTTTTTGGGGGGGGGGGGGGGGCTGACAAAAAAAAAATCCGAATCACCCCTCTCTAACATGCAGGCCCCGCTGAACCTCTTCCGCGCTTTGCGCGGGCGGGGGAAAACTCCCCCCTCCCTGCATCCACCCCCTAGGGAGCGCGCTCTGTAAGTGATTCGCACGCTTTGCGTGCTCATTACCGCCCCCCCCCCTAAAATGAAATCCTGGCTACGCGCTTGCGATTACCGACAAAACGAGCCACCAATATCATTATAGAAAAATATAAAAATGCCAATGTCCAGATGTCTACAAATTTAACCCTATAAACCCTGGGCCAGGAACTAAATTATTTTTCAGTTTTTCCCCTCCCGCGCGAAGCGCAGAAGCTTTGACACTTCATTAAAATATTAGAGAAAGAAGACGATCCGTTGTACTGTTCTCAACTCTTAAAGCTTGTTTCGCCCCTCCTGCGCAAAGCGCGGAAGCTATGACGTTTCATTTTGTTATTGGAGAAAGAAGACGATTTATTGTACCGGTCCCGACTCTTAATCATTGTCTGAATCCCCCCCCCCTTCCCACGCGAAGCGCGGAAGCTTTGTCGTTTCATTAAATTATTAGAGAAAGAAGACGATTCGTTGTACCGTTCTCTATCTTTTCTGAATTCAATTCCCCCCACTGGGCTGGGCGCTTAACGGTATATGTGCAGTGTTACATGATGTAAGTATGGAACGCTCGTGCATGCTCAGCCCGAGTGGTGGGTAGCATGACTGTTATCTCCTGGCAGTGCTTTGCACATTAGCTTCTGGAAAGGATTTAGTGTTACTGTTAGTGGCCACTATAAGGCCCTCAGTGACTATAAAAAAGCATATGCTCTTCCTGGCTATTTGGGAATGGGTCAGTTTGCAACAAGAAAAAATGGAGAAACTAGCATTTTGTTGAAAATCATGTGATATCACGAACATTTATACATTACTTGTGAAAATATGTCATGGTTCAATTTTTTTTGGGGGGGGGGTGGCGCCCCCCAAGCCCCCCCCCCCCCCCACCAGTACGCCAGTGCATGAAGCACATCTAGGACTTTGGCAGTTATTATTCTAAGATGCTCAAAGTGGAACTTCTCCACTGATGTGTAAAAGATCTGTGGATATTAATTGTGGGGTCATTATTTGTACCATGTGCTATTTGTAACTATGTGAAGTCGTTTATCAAGTAAATGTATTCAAATTTATGGATGCTTCCTTCACCCGGTGGTGATGAAGCATTTCATTCACCTGCTATTATCCTTTTTACTACAAATTTTAGAATGCAAATTGCATAGATAAGTTGGTGCTCTTCTGGAGTGAAAATTTCTCATAAATTTATTAGATTTGTCAACTGCTATATTTTAGTACTTTTAAATGAAATAGTTACAATATCATTGTTCCCCTGCTATAAATATTTGTTACCATATACAATTTCTATCTTCTCAGCTGTGATTTTTCCTTATTGAAAATTAAAGATTTGTTTATTGAATGAAACGGTCTTTCAATAAACTAAAGCTTGGTGCGCGCATGATAGGCATACTACAACTTCAACTGGTAGGCCTACGTCACATTTTCAAGAAAATGGCTACGCCCATGTCATGCTAAGGCATCACATCATTCCAAGAATATCATCATTTATATATCTCTTGTATATTTTCTTAAGGAATATTGTACATCAAAGGGCAGGAATACAACTCATTTTTCATACTACCTATAGTTTTCCGGGGATAATGTAAACCTATCAGCGGAGTAATTTTTATAGCAGCCGCTCAGGTTAAAGTATCACTTTATATACAAAGTAGGCTAATTAAGAAGAAGGAAAAAGAGAGAGAGAGGAGAGAGAGGAGAGAGAGAGAGAGAGAGAGAGAGAGAGAGAGAGAGAGAGAGAGAGAGAGAGAGAGAGAGAGGGGGGGGGGGGGGGGAGAGAGAGAGAGAGAGAGAGAGAGGGGGGGGGGGGGAGAGAGAGAGAGAGAGAGAGAGAGAGGGGGGGGGGCTGGATGTGACTAGAAAGCAGAGAAAGAGAAGGTTTAAAATGTCATGTTTAGCATTCAGGATCGAAGCGGAAACCATCATGTGACAGACTCCATAAATTAATTAAAACAGTTATTAAAACAAGAAGAACCGAAGAACAAGAACAAAAGGAAGAGGAAGAAGAAAAGAAAAAAGAAGAAGGAGGGACTAGAAGAAGAAAGAAAGAAAAAAGGGAAAAGAAACTAAAAAGAAAGAAAGAGATAAAGAAAGAAAGGAGGTCATACATGTATGTATTTAGAGAAGATCGATTTTTGTTGTGTTCTCGCGACATAAAAATTGAATCAGTAATCTTAAGGAGCAGCTGTTATTCATACCAATTTGTTCCTCTATGACGTTAAAATATAAAAAATATGAAAGATACATTTATAAATTACTGATTTTAGATAAATCATGGAAATCTAAACAATTAAAATTAATTATGTAAACCTAAAAATATAAACGAATTAATACATTATGCGAACGAGCCTAACATGGCAGCGCCCAAGGTATGAAATGTTATGATTTTCTACACCCTGACACTACAATGAAAGGGAATCACAGGATCTGCGAACGGAAAAGGTAATTCTGAATATAATAACCACCAGATTTTTGTCTATGAATTCATTGTGATTATTATCGTGAGATTTGTTGTTTTACCTGGGAATTTAGGCAGATGAAATAAAGCGCTAATTTATAATTTTGTACGCCAAACATAAAAAGCCTCTGCCTCTGCCTCTGGCGATCTGGCAGACTGAGTGCCGCCGGTTGAGCGAGATTCTACCCGAAACCAAGCCGCTTCTGCCGGGGCGGGGATCTTGATAGGTTGGGTGTTGTATTGAACTTGTAATTTGTATCCTTGACCTCGCCGGCTGCTTATCTCTCAACGAGAGTCAAGATGTCCAATGTCCATCATATGCATGGTGTTCCGTGGAATTGGAAACAAAAGTACTGAATTGATTTAGATTCTAGTCTATGTCATGTGTTTTGTGCATGTCGGGCAATCGAATCCTGGATATGGAATTGTCATTGTATAAGTTGTAATGTATTAAACAGTGTAACTGTAGACTCTAAGGCTGTATTGTAACTTTAGTATACCGGTACTGTTGATGTTGATGTTGATGAAATTATGAATTAACTTGAACTTGAAGCATGAGATTAGCCATTAGGGTTTTAAGGCCCATTAATGCACACACAACAAAGTGAACAAACACTAAAAATCTGTGAATTTGAAGGAAGCAGAAAAAATAAGCAGGGACTAGAATTCTGTTAATCTAAATAGTGTTACATATAGTTTTGGGTTATTTTGGCAACCATTTCAGCCCCCCTTTTCTAATTGATGTATTGAGTTTTAAATTTCTTTTGTGTCTGTTTTCATTTCTCACAAATCTGCAGAAATCAGCACTTGAATCTACCACTCCAACATCTTGATATCTTTTATCGCATTCCATCATGGCTTCTTACACGTTTGGTCAACATTTAATTAAGTCTTCGGTTGTCTTCTTTCGATCTCGACTCACATTTGCCTTTGTCAATAGAAAGCCTGTGGTTCCAGGGCGTATCCTTTTATAATAACTTTTGATACAATTTCATCTTGAGTTGAAGTTGGTTTCTTGAAAAGAAGGTATGAAAGGTCATAAATTTATATACAAAGTGCTAAATTTGAAATATCATCTTTATCACTTTACAGATTTTTTCAGTACTCCGGTCTTCACTTTCATTCATTCAAGATTCAAGATTCAAGTTTCAAGATAATTTATTGTCATGTAAAAAATACATAAAATTTGCCTTCGGACATTTAAAGGTGCTTTACATGTACATACAAATATAAATATATAAATACAGACAAAATAATTACATTTCAACATAACATTTAACAATCATCACAATTTTAAGAAAGGTTACATTAAAAGAACAAGATAAAACTGAGTAAAAGGCAGTGCAGTTTAAAAAGCTTGTTTTGTTTCGTTATTGATCTCGTCCATCCAGGCACCTCCACGCCGGAACACCTCTCCCGCTAATACGCATCAACACACATACAAAGACACACACGACACACCCCTATACACACCCATATACACACCCCTATACACACCTCTTACACACATGCACAATATAATCGTACACGCCCTACACATACACCCGGACACTGCAATCAACATGAGAAGTGCTCCGGCATAGAAATGCCTGGATGGAGATGATTGAGACAATAAATTATCAGAGTATAAAAAAGCTATTACGCAACGGCGACTTTGAAAGAAGAGAGAAGAGAAAGGAAGAAAGAGAGAAGAAGAAGAGACATTCATGTAAACTACAAATTACTAAGCTGGGGTGTGAAGGGCAATGTAATGCATTTGCAGATGACAGATGAGTTATTTGTTATTTGATTTGTTTCATTTTTATTTACAAATATTTATGATTTTAATTAATATGATTTAATTTATATGATAACAAAACCAAATTATTTTATTGCAGAATTCAAATATTTGTGTTCATTATTGAGAAGGCAAGATATTTGGCTCTGACAAAAATTTAACAAGAAAGTAGTTGTCATAGGATAAATTTCCTACAAAAGAGAAATCTGCAAATGTGTTACACTGCCATCATTAAAATTAAGTACATACGCAAATTACACGTGTATGAATTAAAACAGATAAAAATTGTATCATTATTAATGAATAATCATCATGTGTACACGTATTGGACTTTCTGTTAAAAATTTCCTGAAGAAGTTACCCTGCATTTTGACCTTACAAATGGTTCCAGGTACATGTATATATAGATACATTAGCTATTCTCCTTTGTTTATGTAAAGCACATAGAGACATATTGTGTGATGCGCTATCAATATGTGTACAGATGAAAAATGTTGATACCAAAATAAAGGACAAATGGTAAAAAAAAAACTTTAAAAAAACCCGAAACTTTGTGCAGGTGCAAAAAGAGTCTGTAGTCGCCGCAGTGCAGCGTCCTCTATGCACACAATGTGCACCATCTCCACTCTGTGGGGAGTTTTCCTACCATATTGTCACTGTAAGGGCATATGGCAACCACTTCCATCACCTTACCAATACCAGGTCCCCATTATTCACTTAGGTATGAAGCGGCAAATGTAGATTAATACCTTGTCAAAGGACTTGGTGCTGTGCTGAGGATCCCCCAACCTTTGCATTTCCAGTCAAGTGCTCAAACCACTAGACTGTATGACAAATTACATATTCCACCGAGTAGTATCTTTTCCTTGACCACTGTCTGGCCTTGCTTCAGATGTTCTTGTGTCACCTCTGCGGCCAGTGGACAGGTTCGTTGACATGACGGGTGATGAGGTCGCTGATCTCTTCCAGACCACTCAGACATTGTCAAAGGTCATTCAGGACCAGTATAAGGCATCCTCACTCTCAATAGCAATGCAGGTCAGTTCATTCATTGTGCTTATTTTACATGTGTATAGTTTATCCAGCTAGTCTCTCAAAGAAAATTTTAGCATATTCATAAGATGCATGAATCAGTTAGTGGAGTTTAGATAACAACATGAAGATGGAAGGTCACATTTGCTCTTGTTGTTTACAATGACCACGACTATGTGGAGCATTGAGTTATTTTATATGCAATCTGTTAAGAACAGGGTGTCTACAAATGAATGCTACAAGATTTTCATTGGCAACATCTTCAATAGCTCCCAGCCATTCTCAATGAATTATTTCTGTGGTGATTTTATCAAGAAATTTTTAGTTAGAATGGCTTCAGCAGATAGGTTTGTCATGAAATGCAGGCAAAAGCAACAGGAATAGGCTTATTGTGCATTTGTTATCTTTGAAACTTTTTTAAATTGTAAATATTGCAAAAAACAATCTACCTTTGTATATTGAGCTTAAATCCTTGACAAAATTGAACAAATTTAGGGGATACTGTAAGCCAAGGGGGTCACTCTCATACACAAATGATACCCACATGACCCAAGAAATTTCAGTGGGGATGAATAAAAATGTCAATACATATTTTTAGACACTTGACTTGATATACATTGTAAGATATGTGCAATTGTCAGTTTGGCTACAGTATGTTAAACTCAATGGATAATATTTGTGCATGTTTAAGACTGACCAGAATGCTGCAGAGCCTGAATGGTTACAGTCACCAAATTATTGCTCATCAAAAATTGAATAATGCAATTGTAGTTTGCAACTTTTTGTTAATGGTCGATACAATTTGGTTGCCATGGTTACTTTCTACAATTAGAATCCATTAAATGTTTGATGTCAAAAGCCAAGATGCTAACACTTAGCTGGCCATGCTCTTTACATAAATGCATGGCCCTGGTAAGTTTGCAGTTAATAAATGTGTATTTACATAATTGAAAGAAAAAACGTATTGAGTAGCAAAAGTCAATTTGATTACGAACTGCAATACATACGTACATAAGATAGGCAAAAGAAAAAAATAAGAAAAAAGATGACATTAATGCAGTACCAGTACCTATTTATTATTTATTTGAGATGCATGTACACAATCCAAGCATCAAATTAAGGGAAATCATACTTGTAATCTAATTTCCTAACAAGTTATGATGAATCTCTATATGATTTCATTTTAATTGATTCTGATTTGTATCTGATTTTGTTTTCTTCATAGGATGGGCCTGATGCTGGACAGTCTGTATGGGTAAGTGTTTTAGAGTCTTATCCCACAAAGTGCAGAATTACTTCAGACTATGATTCTATACATATTTATATTAATTTGAAAAATAATCTCAGAAATTTCAATAAAGACTAATGGTACATCACTGGTTAAAAACTAGATATGAAGGATATCTCCAATACTAATAGCAAAGAGCATTTGTTGATTTGTCAGTCTTTTTTATTTTTTAGTTCTAGTTATAAGCTACCACTGATTTACCTTGCTAAAGGAAGCAGGAACAATGTTGTCATGGAGATAATTTCAGAAATCATTCTACCCAATATAAGTATGATAAATTAAGTGGTCTCTTTTGTGGCCTCGCAGGCATTTACTGTTCAGACAAAAATAGACATGAAGCCATACAGGACACTTGCCAAAAATGGTCTAAATAAAAACCCTGAGCAATTGCAATGATGAACTGGCTTAGAGATTATCCCTAGCGACACTTAAAAAAAAAACACCCCAAAACCCTTACATGTTTTTTTTTTTATGAGTGGTGAGTAATAAAAGCCAGATGGGTAAATCATGTTGCAATTTGATTTCATAGGGGTAAATCATGTTGCAATTTGATTTCATAGAAATCATGCATTTTTAAAGCCCCCATAGTTTTGTATGAAAAGGAAATATGCATTACATTTGTTTGATATAGGTTCATATTGTATAAAAGATGTACATATTCTAGATGGTTGTTTTTCTGTTCATGATTGCTGATAATTTTAATGTTACTATATGAACCCTCCCCCCCCCCCAAAAAAAAAAAAAAAAATAATAATAATAATAATAATAATAATAACAAATAAAATGAAATAAATAAATATATATATATATATAATAATAATAATAATAATAATGGTAAATGAATAGCCAACTATATAATTTGTTATTTTTCATGATCCACCTATTGAGGAGAAAGAATTTAGATAAATACAGCAGCTCATTAAACAACTAAAAATCAGAGGAAGCTAGACAATGAGTGGGGAGGGAGTGGGAGTCTAAGGGTTATCAAAACGCTTCATGGGCTTTGATAATAGAATGATAGTACTTTTAGTCATAAAGTGTATTAATGTAAACCTCTGTGATATATATATATTACAATTTTTATTACAACAATTCAAACATACTTTGCACTAACAATACTGGTAGTTGTACAGTGTAACTGTGATATGAAAGACATGTTCATACAGTTTGCACAGGAGTGTGAACACAATCATTATTGTTTGTGAGCAGAGCAGAGTTTGACTGAGATAATTAGTAGCCATGATTAATCACATCCACACCTAATTCACCTCAATGGTGTCATTAAACCCTGATAGACAGTGATTCAAGGCTGGCATTTGTCACTTTAAATGTCTTTAAAGGTATTATCAACCCTTTTGAAACATATGTTGAAAATCAAGATAAATGTATATGTGAAATCGTGTATACATGGATAATAGTAACTTTCATATGAAATTTCTTTTACAATTGATTTTGAAGTTGCTCATACTGCAGTATGAATAGAATCATTAGTATTCTGTTTTCATTGAAGAATGAAACTTTTATAATTTCTCTTTAAACTATCAGAATACTGTCAATGTATTAAAGATCAAATCATTAAAAAAGCATGTATCTTCATAGCTGTCAAACTAAAGTACCTTCAATGCTTATGATACATCACTGTTTTGTATGCCGAGATTGTTTACTTTTTATTACTGTAAGTCTTTTGCTATATGTAATTAGGTACCGGTACTGATCTAATTAAAAAACATACAGCAAAAAAGAATTTATAATGCTTAGCCTTACATTGAGAGTATTCTATAGGTAACCATTGTTTGACTAAAAATCTAACTTGATGATCACTATCATGACAGGAGATGCAAATTGGCAGCACAGTTTTGTATGAATTATTTACTAATGTTTAGAGGATTATTTTTGATACTGAAATAATTTGCCATTTACAGTTTCCTTTGAAACAAATCATCAGTTAAATTCAAGCTGTTACAATCTCAAATATGATTTTTTTATATTCTGTTTAATGTGTATAATAAATATATGTCATTATGTATCTTGATAAAAGATGTACCCCTTTAATGTTATTTTCTTTGTCTTTGCAGCATGTACATGTTCACATCCTTCCAAGAAAAGCGGGAGACTTCCGGAAGAATGACGACATTTATGATGAGGTATGATGAGTTCACTTATTAGCAACACCATTATAAAGCAGTAATACGTAACCCCTACTCTGCGATTTAATGGAAGGATTCTGACCTAAGAATTAGAATGCCTTACAATGTGTTATAGGCCAAGTCTGGGCTCTTTTGAAAATTGAAAATCAGGGATTTTTCTAGTCTTTTCCACAAAAAGTGGAAATATGTTTTCTGCAAGTATTACAAGGTAATACAAAAAAAGAAAGAGACGGGACGGAAAATTGCACAAAAATATACAAATACGGTAGTGGGTAACATATCATTATGGGACATCAAATGACCAAATAATAAACATGGAAGTTAATATACCAATTTTGGATTGACAACAGAATTACAATTGATAATGGCACAGAAGGGTTCAAGAACAAGACATTCAATCTTTGTATATCAATAATGAGCAAAGAGCTCAAACTCAATTTAAAAAAGAAAGTTTAGAATATGGGTCAACACTTCCACTCTGGAACTATTTAATATCGCGACCTGAGAAGCCATCTAAATCTTAAGACAAGGTTGGTTTAATTAGAGATTTAATCCTATCATAACGTCGCTATTTAGTGCCTCTCCCAATGACCTCAACTAAAGGGGCAGTCCTGGAGTATTGGATGACCATGACTAATGATAGGCTTACTAAGTAATAACTACAGCTCCCCCTCCCCCATCACCCGAGTCATTGCTATTATGGACAGGTATGGGGGGGGGGGGGCTCATGTGATGTGTACAATGTGCTACTTGATCTATTTTGTTTTGTCTCCACTTCCCCCCAAAGGAAATAATTATTTAACAAAAATAAAACAAATACAGTAAAACCAAACCAGCTCAGTGTGTTAGCTTTATATGATGATGGCCCAAATTGCAAGATAAACACAAATCTGAATGTGTACAATTTTTTTCCTTTTGAAGTAGAGAAGTCAATGAAAGCAGTTTTTCAATACCTGGGCTTGTTTTCCCGTATATCAGGACCTTTTGTCAATTCTTTAGTCGTTTAACTTTCAAGTAGATGTAATTGGGGAAGTTTCCTCTGGAATTTAGAACTAGTACTTCCTATAATCTCTGTCACACATGAGAAGCTAAATCAGAAATGTGAAGCAGTTCATTTGCAAAGTATTCAGCCCTATGAAGGGAAACTTAAGTCATGAGATTTCATCATGAGCAACAAAATATAAGACAGAAAGTATGAAAAGGAATATAAGATATGTTAAAAGCCAAAAGGGCCTTAACCCATGAAAAATCCAGAGTTAATGCCCTCTTCTGGCCTCCAGTAGATGATATTGTATGTTATTGGTCTGAAATAATTTTAACCTCATTAGGAGATATTTAAGTCAGGGATTTCCTTGTATTTGTTAAATAAAATCATGTTTCTACCAACTTTTCTGTCACATCAATTATTTTGGGGTGTACTTCAGGGAATAATTTCCAGCCAAAAATTTGCATAGCAAATCTGCTACACAAAATAATTTTTGCATAGCAGTTGGATGAACTTGTATAGCAATTTTTTTTTCATGTTATAAATTACAGTGCAAAAACAATGACGTCACAACATCTGGTCATGAATGCATACTTACTACATTTTATGTACATTGATTCTGGTGTAATCTCCCAGCACTTTCTTCATACTCGATCCATTCCCTTTTCTGGTCTAAATCCTTAATCCAACCTTCCACAGTAACTACACGAATTGACACCATGTTTTGAAAATGACAAAAATATCGGTCCAACAATAAATCCAGAGACGAGTCGAGTCTTAAATCGAAATAAATCCAGTAACTTTGAATCGTATCGAGGGTAAACAACAACACGTAGTATTAGCTCGCACATGAGCGCGATTCAGCCTGCCCTGGATATATAATTAGTTCACCACGTGCGTGCATTGTTGTCTGCATCGCAACAACACTCACGGCTAAAAGGTGACCGTAGACACTCATCGCCGATAGTGCGCTATGTAGGTGTGTGTAGCTTCACGGTTAGAAAGTGACTGTAGTACGCTTAGCGCTCAGTGCTGGCCAGCCTGGCCTAGCCAAACCTGCCTGGGATATATGGATCGGATATCGGAGCGTCGAGGGTGTATGTAGTTTGTGGATTGGCGGTCTGTGTATATGAATGTACGTTTCGCTTGCATCGCAGCAATTGCGATTCATGAAAAAAGATGCGTCGCAAATGGCTGAAAATACATCGCGAATTGCGATGCGATACCGGGAAAATTATTCCCTGTTACTTTACAAGTATAGCCTTATGACCTTCAGATCAGAGGGTGTGGTGTACTGAGCAATTCTTGTCTCGGCAACAATCTGTATCATACTGATCTATTGTTTTTCCATGTTCAGGAGGAAGAAAAAGAAGAGAGGAGTAGTAGAGAATAATTATGGAGAGAAGAAGAGGAGCAATACAAATAAAAAGGAGATAAAGAGGGATGAAGAGAGGAGAGGACAGGAAAGGGAAGGAGATGAGAGGAAAGGGAGAAAGAATGAAGTGAGGAAGATGAGAGCCAAATGTGATAATAGTGGGGAAAGGAGAAGAAAAGGGAGGTAGAGGAAAGATCAAAGAGAGAGAGAGAGAGAGAGAGAGAGAAAGAGAAAGCAAACAAGAGAATTTAGAGAGAGAGAGAGAGAGAGAGAGAGAGAGAGAGAGAGAGTGAAGAGAGAGAAATTAGGAAAAGACGCTTGACTTGAGAGAGACAGAGGAGAGAAAAGAGAGAAGGAAAGAAAGAAAACAGAGATAGAAAGAAATTGATAAAGAGAGTGATGTCAACATAGCCTTAGTAATGATGATGTCTTTCTGCTGTACTTTAGCCTTCTAAACAAATTAATGTTGTATTTGCCAAACACCAAGATACAAAATACCCTCTACCTATAAATTCTACCTTGCCTTAACTACTATCTGTTTTTACTGAGAATAGATCTTTGACACTGACTTTCGAATTATCAGCTTAATCCATACATCATCATAAAGGTGTGTCTCTTTGTTGACCACTTCAAGTTCAGACAATGAACAAAGAATGACCTTCCTATATAGTCTGGCTAATCTATCAAACACCTCAGAAACAATACCAATGTGAAATGAAAGTTAAAGAGGAATGATCTCATCACAGAAAGTTGGCTCCATTAGAAGCAGAAAATTCAGGGAAACACATTGGGCCAATTCCCTGCTAAAATGATAATTTCAGATCTATAGCATATGTGATAAAGTATTAAGAACAAAGAAGTTATAAAAAAAATCATTTAGATTCACAAACTCAGGTACCTATAAAATAGGGAAAATGAATACATGAATTTTAATAAATCTATTTCTGTAATAAAAGTAGTTTAAGTTAACAATTTTAAAACCATTTTTCATGACCTATTTTTTAAAGGAACTTACATGTAAATGTCATTAGTCACATAGATTTTTAACAAAGTTTTTGATGATAAGATTTTTTTTACCAATAAAAGAGTTTGTGTTACACCTGGATCAAAAGCATTTTATTCATTTTACTTTACTCAGTTGGAGGGAGAAAAAAATGTAAATCATTAAAAAACAAGTAAAAAGTCCAAGGGATAGTGATTCTGCGACAGATTTTCAAAACTTTTCTTGTGTAATTCATTGTAAATCAAATAACTATTCAAATTTTTGATAAACCAGGTTGTGTAATAGAATTAACACACCTTTCTATGGGATGTCCACGAACTTAGACTTATGACGGTTTCAAGAAACTGGCCCCAGATATCCTGAGACTCCACAGATACAGATACATGAATCTCTAGATGTCAAAGAGCTATTGATTGGCAAGTTGATGACAAGAGATGGCAGTATATACAATTTTTGTCAGTCAGTGGTATTTGAGATTACTGGTAGCTATCATGTACTGTCATAGCTGTTGTCTTGTTTTCTCCCCATTCTTTCTATTTATTTTTTTATGATTTCCCCTGTTTATCTTTCATTTCTTTATTATATATTTGCTGACTACATATACTTTTTGCTTTAAAATAAAAAATCTAATCTAATAACTAATAAGTCAACATGAAATATAAAATGCATGTTGTGTCCTTTCTCAAGGATATTAGTTAAAGTGACAATGCAAAACAAAACCACTTGATATCAAATTTATTTGAAAAAAAAGAAAGAGGGAGAAAGTTGTTGGATGTAATTGATTTGTTTTTGTTGTCGTTCAAAGTGAAGTATCTGTTCTAGGTTCTTTTCATATAATGTAGATTGTATTCCCTTACTAACGTCTATTAAAGGTACTACATGTATGTCCCATTTGTAGGCCAAAAAAATGAAAATGTTAAATTCCAACAGCATTTGAAAGACAATCCTAATTTAGAACTTCCCTAAAAAAGAGGGGGCTTGAAAATGCCTTTAAGTGGGAAAAAACGACTGTTAGTTGTTGAATCGACTTAGGAGCTATAGAGCCAGTAAGTAATAGTCTGATTTTTCAGACCATTGTACCGAATGGTTGTACGTTTTATGCTGCGTAAAGATTTAATCAGTTTAATTTTGGCCATTACAAGGTGTGGGTTATTGATGTAGACAAATGCTCATGTACCCATTACAGCTCATTTTATGTATGTTATTACCAAAGATGAAAAAAGCCAGTCAGTCACTTAATAGTGTTTGACAGTGAAGTCTAGCAAGCAAACAGATTTCCTTGCATAATTTGAATATTAGGACACTGCTCAAGTTTAAATTTCACAGATAGGACATACATAACATATTCATAATTCCTGCAAAGTTCTACATAATTGGATGTTGGCTGCAAAAGGGACATAGTATCTTTAAAGTGACAGATTTCTTTAATATTATTTTGTTTATTTGTACTTTTTCCCCTCTAAAGGCAGAATCACCATCTGTATCAAATTTGCCAATCATTGCATTATGAACTGATCTTTTTAAAAATTGATATATCACTTCTACTTTTAGAACACCAAATGAAGGCTTTGGGTATATCTACACAAATGCCTCGAGTATCATCCCTTTAATGGTATGTTTTAATTGAATGTATT